TAACAAGTGCATCGCTACTAGTAACAAGTGCCTTACTAGTAGTAACAAGAAGCTATGAGAAACAATATAGGATTAAAGGTCTTCTTCGACCAGAAACGTAGTTTTCTCATGGCGGGTCTCTGCAGGAATTGATCCTCACAGCTTGCTTCATGCTTGTGAGTCAAGCCGACGCCGATGAACATGTTTTGCACAACCGATGGCCGAGGGTGTAGAATCATCGGGTCGCCCATAGCACTGGTAGCAAACCCAACGCAGTCTTTTCAACCAAGGTGAACAATCAACGGAACTCATGAATTCCTTCGAACCTGTCCTCCTCGGTCGTCGCCCGACCGCGTCCGTCCTGTAGTTGACTTATTTAGAAGGAATGAGTCCAGCAACCAACTCCGCCAGCTCATCAAGAAACTTCTATTGTGGAGAATGAAAAGGAAGTCAAATTTACAGCGGTGAAATGGACCTCTGGCGTGCAAGCGCAAGCTTCGTCATAGAAAGCCCCAATCCATCCTGTCGGTGCCCATCCAAGCGACCAAAAACAAAGGCGACGTTGGAACGCAGTTCTCGCCTCGTCACCCCCTGTATACTCGCCTCTGAACTCTTTCTTGGACTCGTCGCCCGGGTTGCGGCAAACCGTCACCGTCACCGACTCTACGTCGCGTGCCGTCGCGTCACCCCGGCCCTGCAGCAGTTTCTGCCGAAGCCACACAGGTCCCATTGAAGCAAACCGTCGGCACCGGCCGCTGCAAGGTCAGCTGGGCGACGTAGGGCTGGCGCGAGTGGAAGAGAGATTTGGCAGCGCAGGTGGCTGGTGTCGGCTTTAGGGAACAAGGGATCTTCGGGATGATTCCATTTTGGGACCCACTTCTGAAGAGCCTCGTTCGAAGAGACGCTTGGATTTGGAGCGAAGAGAAGCTCTGAACGGACTAGGCCCCTCAAGGGGCCCCTGAGGTCCTTTTCGAGCTCCGGTACTGCGAGAGTGAGAGGAAACACGGCCCCAGAAGGCTGGAATCTTGGGTGGAGTTCCGGATTCGATGTCTTCACTGACAAACTCTCCAAACTTTCCAACAGCCTCAAAAATGGAACATTAGAACATGAGCGCATAAGGGAGGTGGTATCTTTTGATGTCATACGAAAGGTGATTCACGTGGCCCAGACAAGTTAAAAAACAGGAGCCCAGTCAGTCCAGTCAGTCAAGGGGAAGAAAAGTCATGAAAATCACATACTCCACCACCTGGTTGCTGAAGCCAGTCATTTGTTATGATACGATATGATTCTGCCAAGTCCTCCAAAAAAGAACAGTTCAACCGTTCAACCCCATCCACAGCACACAGCTGGGCCAACCATCAGCCGCCCTGAAGCGCCCTCCAGGGGCTTTTCCCGACGGTGCCTGCAACGACCTCAAGGGCCGCCCGGTGGCCAAGATCACTTGCACCTCGGACCACCCCCCGGAGCTTCCCGAGCGCTCCCCGGTCGAAGCTCCGCGAGGACGGCGGCTCCGGTGCATCCGCACGGAGCACGGACTCCGCTGGGACGGACGGAGTGTCCTTCGTGCGAGGAAGGACCGGAGCTTCCGAAGGGCAGGCCACGGACAGCACACATCCAATGATTCCAACCCAAACGCTCAGTCCTTTGGAGCCTTGGAGGGTCGAGACTCTCCACAAGACTCTAGAAGTACACGTCAAATGGGGTCATACCATCTACGGAATCAGGGCTCCTGGCCTCACTACGAACGGATCGCTCCTTCACCGATCGAACGCCGCTACGAACGGAGCAAGGACGGGGCTTCGTGTCTTGAAGATCCGTCGACCGACGGAATGGCCTGTTCCCACATGTCCCACTGCCGACGGAAGACGCGCCCGGTGAAGACTTCGTGACGACCCCGAAGAGGACCGGTTGGTTGAGAGGAAGGGCGAAAGAAAAGAAACCGGGTTGCGGGTCTCTTGAAACAACTGGAACATATATCAGCCTGGCGGCCTGCGCCAGGTGTTTTTGGTTTTTCCTTCACCCCACCTGAAGTCTTTGGAAGTGTTGCCCATTCTTTCACCGAGTGGCTCCTGCTGCTTCCTTGGGACACGCGAACCAGTCATGTCTCACATGTGCGGTCGCTGATGAGATCGGGGGAAGGGCTCGGAATCTCTCGACCAAACCGATTTGGTTTTGGAAGGAGTTGGGAGGTAACCTAGGTTCAATGAGGCCTACCACCCTGAACCCACCCCCCTGATGGGAACATCGAACAGAACCACTGGCCTTGGTACGAATCACGGGTCTCAACCACGGGAACCGGAGGATACTGTATACCATTCCTTATTCTCTACGCAGCCGCGTGTCCTTCCTCTACAAATCAATGACGTCTCTCCAAGTTGAGATCTTTGGAGGTTGGGAGCAACGCCCGGTTTTGACCTCGATCGTGCGATGATGAACGTTAGCAGCTAAGGCAAGTAATTGGGTCCTACGGTCGACCCTCGAACCCCTCCTTACACAAGCAAAGGTGGGACCTTCCGAAAACCTTCCTGCAATGACCCCAATAGGAATTTGGTTGTTTGAAGTCGAAGCCTGCTTGAAGTCGAAACGACGACTTCTAAAGGGAAAATGGTCTTCCACCAAGCAATTACAGCTGGTTGTTCGAGGATGCAGTTTTTTAGTCCTGAAGCCAACTCACATCTCAGCCTCCATGTATCTGTTCTTGGGTTTCCTCGCTCGGGGACCCAACCACTTGGACGTTCCACCCAAAAACAAAGACCCATTCCACTCTTCTTTTGAAACCCTTTTTGCTAGGAACCTCCTCGCGTTTGGGCTTTCTAACCGCCTTCCATAACCATCCTTTCAAGGGCCCGTCCCACGGCGGGAACGTGCCGGACCGGCCCCATCCGTGGCCCCAGCGGCGACGCGTTGGATCGCCTTCAAGGTCCGCTCGCTCAGCGCGTGGACCTCGTTCAGCGTGGTCCTCGGACCGGCTGAGCGCTCCAAGCGCATGGTGCGGCCGATCTCAGATGGAACGTGTTTGTCCAAGTTCGTCGAATGCATCACCTTTGACTCGTGACCATGACTATCAGCATCCAGCTGTCAGGCAAATTCGACGATCGCCCATGTCTGAGGTATCAGTATCAGACATGTACTGTGACATGGAACCACTCTCATTGCGTAAAGCCATTGCTAGTAGGAGGTTGGAGACCATTACTTACTAGGGTGAAGGCTATTGCTATTAGGAGCAAGGCAAGGACGCTACGAACGGGGCTCCTGGCACCGCTACGAACGGAGCAGGGAGGCTACGAACGGGTGGAGGCCATCGCTCTTGGATCGTTCCTATTTCCGTAACAAGAAGCTATTAGTAACAAGTGCCACGCTACTAGTAACAGGTGCCTTACTAGTAGTAACAAGAAGCTATTAGTAACAAGTGCCACGCTACTAGTAACAGGTGCCTTACTAGTAGTAACAAGAAGCTATTAGTAACAAGTGCCACGCTACTAGTAACAGGTGCCTTACTAGTAGTAACAAGAAGCTATTAGAATTTAATTAATTATTACCCTTTCTCCTTTGACTTATTGTTTCTAATAGCGTCCTTGTTACTACTAGTAAGGCACTTGTTACTAGAAGCGTGGCACTTGTTCCTAGATGCCTCTCCCATCGCCGAGCGTCCCATCCAGGTCCAGCGCCACGGCCCGGAAGCGGCCCCGGGCGAAGCGAGACGTCCGGGCCGCTGCATCGGCGGCTTTCATCGCAGAGGACAGTCCGGTGACTGGGGTGTTGACAGGTGTTTTTCCATAAGGAAACAGGAGTTATGAGTTGCTTTATCATACAAAAAACAACAAGAGAACAACTGGGACTTTGTTTTTTTTTCAACATTTTCATTTATACTATTGTGTTCTATATAAGCGGATCTTTGCAGATTTAGGTGGTGAACTTTCATTTTAGACCCTGTCTTGAAACATGGTACAAAAGTAAAAAACAAAGAGCGGCATCTTTCTTTCATCTGTCTCCAGAGTCTTTTCATTGGTTTTCTTCCCGCAGCCTGCTTTTCAGGTGGAGAACCCACTGACTGTTTGCTCAACATAAGGCGTTTGCTTTCCCAAGTCAAGTGGAGGACCTTACCCTTGCCCTGATACAGTCTGATAAATTCAAGAACTGGAAAACCGACCTACGGCCCCACGGTCTAAAATGAAAGAACCAAAGCACGTACAGATTGTCTATCATGAACAGGGTGCAGAGGTCTACTGGCAATTTTCGCACCATGTTAGACCTCAACGCGTCGACCCCTATTCAATTGAGGCTCACTCATTCTAGACCCTAAGTAGTTGAGGGTCTGTTTTCGCCAGTCCTCAAGACCTTGAGCCAAGATCTGGAGTCTCGACCACTGTAGACACCAGTCCCAAGCAGAAACAAGTCTAGATGCTTCCCCAGTCCCCCACTTGTTATGTAAGGATAGCAACCATTTGTTTCTGGTTTGTTTGGGCTTCCTCGTACAAGCGGACGTGGCCTTGAGTAGCTTACTGAGCTATGTGGAAGTGGCTGCCACAAGAATCCTTCGCCCCATGTCATGTGACTCCCATCACCATGCCAACTCCGCTTCGTCTCCTCCGTCCGAGCGGCGGTCATGGCATCAGCAGACCGACCGACGGCTTCTTTCCTTCCTACTACCTGGTGTCGGTCGACCGGGGGGCGGCAGCCAGGATGGCCAGGTCCTCCTTCACGACACTCCCTGAACACTCACATGGAAAACCGTGGACGGCGTCGCCCCAGTGGAATTACAATTTTTGCGAAGACCGAAGAGGGATGAGCAGGGGGTGAACTCACCGCACTTCCGTGTGAGTTCCAAGAAGAGTTCGCTTCTCTCTTCCTCGAACGAACCCATAGACTTCCAACCACTATTAAATTAATAGGCTTTAACGAACCAACTAAGGATTTTACACTACAAAAACCAGTTCAACCTTTTTTTCAAATGGTCTTGGAAGTCTACGGAAGGGTTGCGACTGAACAGCCGTTTCCTTCCTCTTCGCTGTCAACCAGCCTCACGTGGGCGCAGAGCGGGCCGGAACGTCCGGAAGGTCCGGGAAGAGGCGACCCAGCTGATCTTTCAGAGACTCCGGTAGCTTCAGATGGCTCAACGAAGCACAGCCTAGGAAGGCCTCGTCTTCAATATACGTCGAATCTGGAATGATTAATGTGGTCAAAGAACTGCAGCCAGAGAAGGCACTTCTTCTTATCCGAGTGACCGTCTCAGGGATCGTCAAGGTTGTTAAAGAGCTGCACTCTGCAAAGGCAGCAAGACCAATCTCAGTAGCAGAGTTGGGGAGCGTGACATTTACAAGCGACCTGCACCCATAGAAGGCTTTGTGTTCAACAGTAGTGACAGAGTCCGGGATCCTGACCTTTGCCAGGGATGTGCACGCTGAGAAGGCATGGTATCCAATCCGATCGACAGAGTCAGGGATGGTCACACTTCTCAGGGATTTGCACCCTGCGAAGGCATAGGCTTGAATCTCTTTCACGGAGTCAGGGATCTTCACATGCGCGAGGGAACTACAGCCATAGAAGGAACTATCCTCAATCTGAGTGACGGAGTCCGGGATCCTCACCTTCGCCAGGGAAGAGCATCCTGAGAAGGCACTGTCGCCGATTCGCGTCACCGAGTCGGGGATCTGCACATCGACGAGCGCCGTGCACCCAGCGAAGGCGCTGGGGCCGATCACCGCCACCGACACCGGGACGCTCACGCGGAGCAGCGCCGTGCAGCCGGCGAAGGCGCCCAGTTCCATGACCTGCACTCCGTCGCGGATCCGCACGTCTCGCAGCTCCTTCCGATCGTAGCCAGAGGTTCTTTTGTTGGTGCACTCCACCGCGGGGTTCATCGTGAAAAGGACCTCGGGAAGATCCCAGTCTTGGTGGGGTGTACCTATAGAACTATGGAGGGTTCACTGCATGGACCTCGGGGAAACCAGGGTGACATTGTCGTGACAATCGCGGCAACAGTTCTTTTGCCTTTTTCCATAAGCATGAAAGGTCGTATTGTTTACAGAAGCTCTTTGATGGTGGGCTTCTACCATTTAGCAAGGAGAAAGATTGCAATGGATATTGTACGGCATTGTCCATGACTGACTCGTGACAGCCCCATTCACAGCCCCTGACAGGACGCCGGCGACAGGACTGCTTGACATTGAGACTTATTGGAGAACTTGACATTCAGCAACCAATCCGCCTGCAAATCTGCTGGAGACAAGGCTGAAACCACCATCTCATCATCATCCAGCTTCCTTAGTAACTTAGTGCAGGTGCATGAGGCTGGATGTAGAGCATAGTATAACACAATATATGACATGTTCAGGCTGGGTTCTTGTGCGTGACTGAACTTTATTCAGTGCTAGTGCTACCCTCAAACCTGGAGAGGTACACATGCCATCGACTTAGGATTGTCTGTGCGGTGCCAAGCCAGGCTTCCAAATTTCTGATTCAAAAATAAATCAACCATCGCAAAGACCTCGGGGCACCTCACTTGGAGTGCAAGCTGCAAGCACACGCTTCGAGACGCCTTCGAGAAGGTTTCCTTCGAAGCCACTGACCCAAAAAGAAAGCCTTCTCAGCCGGATAACAGGCACAACATATGGGAGTGTTTCCTTCTTCTCAGCCACGGAACTTCCACAAAACGTCTCAATGTCATGACAATGCCAGGCTTCCTTCCCTCGGGGCGGATCACATGCACGATGGTGAGCTGCCGAGTGATCGGGTCTTCAGATGGATGCCAGGCCTGTCTGTCATGGAATTCAGTGCATGTTCCAGCCTATTTCGAGCAGTGAAACATGTTGGATGAACAGGAAAAAGAGAGATGCCCCAAAATACCTAGAGGAACCAAAAGCCAGTGCTTGGAGGGTCTTCTTATTCCGATACACAACCATTTAGATGTCCATTCATTCAGTGTTAGACAGTCGAGGTGGACTGAGGGTGGATCGTGATGCAACACTCCTGAGCCCACCACACGTGTCCCAGTCCCCCCTATCATTCGCCGTCCATTTGCAGAAACCCACATGCCTGCCTTCATACGTTCCTTCATCTCCCTGATCGTCGTATCTGGCATGACTTCTAAGACACGAACATCGCCATTCATCAACTGCATGCTGATTGAGGTGGGGCTCGCTGCCGCCATGGCGAAAGCAAGTCATGTAACTAGAATTAAGTTTTTACTTTAAACTTAATTCTAATAGCTTCTTTGTTACTACTAGTAAGGCACCTGTTACTACTAGCGTGGCACTTGTTACTCGAAGCGAACAAACCGGGTCCCTAGGTTCGGTTAGGGTGCGTCCATCGTCGAGAGCTCAGTGACCATTTTCGAACACAGGAGAGGCATACTGGTCAGTCGACCACACATCTTCCACATCTGCTTTTCCAGTGTGAGCTGAGTTTTTCTCGTGTCAATCGAAAAAAAGAACACACTCACACACTCACTCACACCGTGTGCCAACTACTTAGGGTTTCGAACTGTTATGTCTCGATCCGAAATGGCCGTTCCAGCGATTCGTCTCGACTCTTCACGGGGAGACCACAATGCACGAGAGAAGACGTGGGACGTCCATTTCCGCCGCGGATCGCGGAGGACGGGGCAGCGCGGATCGAAGAGGAATGAGAGCGGGTGACTGTGAGAGAGAGAGAGAGGTGAGGTCTATGGTGCGGCTCCGACCATGGGAACGACGGGACGCGATCCGCGAAGCCGTCGGTTTCAACATGCGGGGTATCGGAGTAGCTTGGGTGGTTCGAAAGCAGGGATTGACATGCCGACATCGGTCGCACACATGTCCAAACGCGAAGGAACCTATGTCATTCAATTCCGTTCTCTATGTCTATACCGTCTCAAAAAGAAGGACACATCGGGCCTGTCGACTGCTCAGTTCCCATGACATCCATCATCCGGTCTTTCAAAAAGGATGACGGTAACTGTTGATACTATTTCACCCGCCTGTCTCCAGAAAGGTTGTACATATCTTCACGAATTAATTTGCTGGAGGGTTTTATTCATTCACAGTGTACGTACTTGAACCTTTCCACAGAACAGGGTGCTGCCCCTCTAATCCTCGGCTGCCGTTCTTTTCCTGGGCCGTGTCCAACGACCTGGAGGGAACAAAAAGGGCCAACCCCGTGGCGCTTTGGGAGAATTTTCTCGGAGTAGGCCGCCGGCCGTCTGTAAAGTACTTGTTGTACTCTGGGGTCGGGAAATCGATGAACCCGTTTTGCTATGGAAGGCATCCCGTTTTGTGCGGTTGGCGTGGCTCGGTGGCATCCAAAAGGTGGTATTCCCAGTTCAAGATCCACATCTCCCCGGTGGAGAGGGGTAGCCACTGGTGAAGTGGTGTATGTCAAGTGTACAGAAAAGGTTGGGAGTTGCCACATCTATCCCCCTAGCTATTGTCGTTCCCTTCGTGCCACCATGTCTTGCCTGGCAGGTTCTTGTTGCTCCGCGATTCTGCAGGCAGGCATTCCACTTCCTGGCACGAGATCTGAGATCCAGATCCCGGGAAAGACACATTACTTTCGATCGTAGACTACACTAAGACACTCAAGACTCTTCAAAACAGCTAGAACGTCTGCTTCTGGTCCTCCTTTTTTGGATGGTATCAGGTCTTCTGTGTGTATCTTTCTGTAGATGCTTCATGCTCAAGGCATTTCTACATACCCTGGACTTCCAATATCCTAGTTCTGTTGCAGTCTCAAACCGTTGGTAAAAACGGCGACTGTTGGGATCTTGGTTTCAACAACCACAACGACTCAACGACCAGTGGCGACCTACTTCCCCATCCCTACAACCTGGAAAACCCTCGCCCGGTTTTCCGGGGCGAGCCGCTGGTGAAGGGCGGGGCCGGGGGCGCTGCCCGGTGGGAGTCACAGCGCTGGTCTTTTCCAGCTTAGCATGACTTGGACTCTCAATCCTGCTTGTTCGCAGAGACCATCTTTGGCGAAGGTTTTCAATCAACTCTTCACGAGCATCCTCTAATGCGATCACGGTAGTGGCTGTCCATGGCGTAGATGAGATCATAGATGCTTTGAGAGTCGTTGTAGCAGAAAGTGCGGAACTGGTGGTGTTCCATGTCAATCACCTCCGTTGCACAAGGATGCTCGCCGGTATTTTCCCAACAGATCCAGCGCGTAGTCAAGGAACTGAATTCCTTCCAGAATGCATCCACTACATAAGGATAGGCCCGGGTGCAACGAAGTCACCAGCTCAGGGCTTGGAGGACATCATGCAGGAGAGTCAATCCAAGCCTTCATACAGGCCGCCCTCTGTATTGGTGGCAGTAGCTGTAATGAACCACTGGCGACGACGCAAGCTGAGAAGTCCTAGTTTGTCAGTCACCTCTGGCGCCCTCATTGCTCCAGGCAAGTCCTTCGCAAGCAGTCCCCTAATGACATTGCCATCAAATATCATAAAATGACTTGGACTGAAGGTAACTTCAAAAAAAGCACTGTATCGAACTCCGACACTTCATGCGTTACTTATGAATGAACATGGCCCAAAAGAAAGGACATACTTTGACATGATGCATGAATTGATAATCACATTGCTCATCGTGCAGCGTTTCGTCTTTGCAAATCAGACTTAGGCTTTCGCGTAGACCAGCAGGGGGACATCTTGCATTTCATCTTTGAACTGGTGGTGTTCCAAGTCAATCACCTCAACGGCGGAAGCACAGAAGGGGTATGTTATGTTGAAATTAACAGAAGGATCGATGGCAAACTGAGGGGCCTTGGTATTTTCAACAGAACAAATGCTTTCCTATCTGGCTTCCCCCTCCCATTGCGGAAGTTCTGATTGAAATTCCACACCAGGACACGCTGAGGCTCAGGTTCTTATACTCCACCGCCTCCACGTTAAAGCCCAAAACTGGGATCGCTCTCACGTTCTCATCGAGCTTCAGCTGATAGAGGAGTGACGTCTTCCCTGCGCCCTCCAAACCTGGGGATGGGCTCCCAAAAAAACCCAAGGGGATAAACCACTTCCTCTCCCCAGCGAAAGGGGAGTCCTCCAGGGCCATAGGGGGGGTGTCTATGAACGTCGCCCGCCCGGAGCATGTTTATCGGGGTGTCTCTTTCTTCACCGGGTTCCTGGGGAGTGGCCCCGTTTCCACCCGGGACCCTCCGTTCAATCCACCCGGTTCCACCGACCAACAGGTCACCAGGACACCCATCATGAGGATTCGTCTCTGAAGGCAAGGCCCATGGCGAGACTGGGCCGAAGGCTGCGCCGAGATGCACGGCTGACGCAGCCCGGCTTCCTTTTTGCAGCACATGGCCCCCTAGGTAAAGATTCTTCAACCACCGAGCACCTCCAAAACAGTCCCTCCAGTGCCACATCCGACCACCGTTTTGGGTTCACGCAAGCTGCGGAGACGGGAGGGTCACCTTGGTGGGGGATCACTTCAGGTCAAACAAGGAAACCTGCTGGATGTCACATCCAGCAGGAACCACCATCTTTGGGTGGATGTTTTCCATGATTTTCACTCTGCTTCTGCAAAGGGCCTGTCCAGGTGACCATGGTGACTGTCTGGCGACCATGGGTGTTTGTTCGGAGGTTGCACCGTCTTGTTTAAAAAACACACGGGTTCTTTTTTGGCACACAACTGGAAAGCAATGGCTTTGCACTGCTGTTACCTGTTTGGGACATCCAACCAGAAGTATTGCCTTTTGGTGCCCCAACTTGCTTTGTTCTCGGGCAATGGTCACGCGAACTGTTGGTCACCTGGTGATCTCTTCACACATCACAGAGCCTTGTCAACTCACACCTTAACGCGGCAAGTTTCCGGGGTGCAAAGGACGATCTGCCTCCTCTTTCAGAGGCTCAAGTAGCTGTAGATTTGTGACTTCACAGCCTCCAAAGGCTTCTTTGTCAATCTGTGTGGAAGCATGGATGGTCAAGCTGGTCAAAGAGCCGCATCCTTGAAAGGCCAGGCTTGCAATCTCTTTCACGGAACTGGGAATGGTCAAGGTGGTCAGAGAACTGCAGCCGGCAAAGGCACGCGACCCAATCCGCATTACAGAATCAGGGATGGTCAGGCTAATCAAGGATCTGCAGTCTTCAAAGGTATTGCTGTCAATCTCTGTCACCGAGTTGGAGATGGCCAATGTGGTCAAGGACGTGCAGCCAGCGAAGGCACTGGACCCCAGCAGGCGCACAGAATTGGGGAGTGTGAGGCTCCTTAAGGAGCTGCATCCTCGGAATAGGTTGGACATCAACTAATAACTAATATCAACTGCACTGAATTGCTCAAAGCTGAATGTCACTTTTGTGCCACTTTTGTCCCAGGTGATCGGTGACCAATGGTAACAATTGGGGCGAATCTGGAGGGGGACAAAGCACAAATATCAGAACGCGAAAAAAAGAGAGGCAACACGCGCACACACTTCGAACTTGGATTTTCAGTTAATGCAAGTATCACGTTGGGAAGGAAGGTGAGGGAAACGTAAGGTGAAAGGTCAGCGTAACTGAAGTGTTTAACAATCTGTTCACTCATCTGCAGAAGCGCGGCTGAACGTCGGCGGCTGAAGGCAGCGGTGGGAAAACCTGTTTGGGGGTGGTAGCATGAAGGACCATGAAAACAAAGAACAGCGGCAGGGTGGACCAGTGGAGTCATTGTGTTGAAAGCAGGTACGTCAGTTCCGCGTCCGGAACTGATATCAGTACCGCCACAGAAGCCTCTTCGTTGGACTGTCACTTCTGTGGGGTAGACAGTCCCCCTGCTTGTGGAGAAATGGTGGTGGAAAACCCTTTGTCCAGGGTGGGACACACACACACACGTCTAGTCGACTATAGCATCAAAAGGTACCACCAAATCTTTTGGAGGCTTCTTCGTGACCTTTTTTGCACCAAACAGGCGTGATAACATGTAATGTAGTAGCATAGGGAGCCCTTTCAGGGCGACGACAGGGTGTCCACGATTCCAATCGTCACAACAGCTTCGATTTGGGCGTCTCCGAATTCCAACGACAAAAGCCAATCCATGACGTGAATTGGCGTGTGTGAGGACAGCCGTTGATGGTACAGTGAGCCACAGGGCAAGGTCGTGCCCAGTCTTTGACACCCCGCATGGATCGTCGTGCTTTTAACAGGTCATGAAGTGGTTTCCACAGTGAATTTCACAGCTGGCCCTTCCTTCCAACATCCGATTGCTTTGGGGTCCTTCTCATCCCAGGATCCTCTGAAGGCTCGGCATCCGATCTTCACCAAGGAGTTGGACAGGCTCACGCTGATGAGAGAGGTGCAGGACTCGAAGGCAAAGGATCCAATCCTTTGATCTGCTTCTTTTGGACGGCAAAACGCCACGAATCACCCGGAAACACGGGGCTTCACTTAGACCAGTTTGGGATTCCACCGCGGGTTTGGGGACGCTTCCCCCGAAAAGGGCACCGTTTTCGGGATCCAACGGGATTCCGTTCGGAACTCTTCCGTCTTCGTTCCAGAAGGCGACACGTCCTACCCGTCCTCGTCGATCCCGAAAGGAACGCCGTTTTCGGTCCTTCGCCCAGACTCTGCACCACGGATGGGAGGGACAGATCGCCCAAGGAGCGACAGCCTTCCTTGGGAAGGGAAGCGACCGATGGTGTTCAAGTTCACCGGGTGACTGGTGTGGTGGAAGATGGAGGCACCGGGTCATCATCATAGTCATGAGACTAGTCATGAGGTTTCTTGGAGAGGCAGTGGTGAGTTCGCAGTGGCGTCCACTCACTGTATTTCTTGAGTAACTGCCATTTTCGCAGGAGATTCGACCAAAGAAAGTCACTGAGATGTAGCTAAGTCTAGCAAGACTCTCAACGAGTTGAACATTCCTAAGCTAAGCCTAGTAGAGGCATTCCCGGGAAAAGGAAGCATTTACTTTTCTGGAGCCGGTGGCCATCGATGGCCATGATTCGCACCTGGTTTTCACAGAAGATGCTCTTCCAAACCGGGAAACTCCGAGAGATTCCAAGGTGGAAACTGCTATGTTCCTTTGTCGGTTTCTTGATGTCCTGAAATTCTGGGGATGCAGGAAAGGACCAACATCACGTGTTCATTTGCTGGTCAAGACCCAAGACCTCCTATTTGCCCCGCAAGATGAGGTCCGTAGCCGTGTTGCTTCACTTTGGGTGCACCCCCTGTGCCGAGTCGTGATCCGTTCGAGTCCGAACCGGTGGGTGAAGTGATCAACGGACGTCGCCAAAGCTTCAAAGGCGTGGTCGCCAATGGCAGTCACTGAGTCCGGGATGACCAAGCTCTCTAAGGAACTGCAGCCAGCGAACGCGCAAGCTCCAATCCGTCTCACTGACTTGGGGATGCTCACGCGTAGCAGGAGACTGCAGTCATTGAAGGCATGATCTTCGATGATGCCTACCTGGAGTTGGCTCGACAGGGAGTTTCGAAAGACACACGTGGTATTCCCCACAGTATTTCCTATGTAGAGAGTCTACCACCATGAAATTGTCCATAACGCGATTTCTTTGGCCATGGTCCCGCTACCAGCACAGCCGCACAAACAAACAAACAAACGAGCAAACAAACAAACAAACACCCTGGGAAAAGAAGCTCCAAACCAGCAATGCCAGGCTGCAGATTCTGGGATACAAACGTCCAGTAGCTCCCATGAACAGCAGCATCTTTGGCTAGCGCATTCCACAGCGGGGTTGGTGAACACGACCTGTGCACTGGCACTCCAGCCGGTCTGGAAAGACCCCAACACAGTGTTAAGCACGTAGAAGAAAACAAAGGTAGAAAAGAAGAAACGAACTTCCGCGCAATGACCATGAGCATAGATATGAGAGCATCCATATGTTTATTCGCTTGTTTCAGTGACACCAAATCCTCCAATTAGTGATGGACCAACATCTCCGAACATTCCAAACCATACCCAAACACGACCTGTCTGGGACTGGCATACATACCTCCGCTTGGGGTGGTGCTTTTAACGGGGTGAAAGTAACATATGCCAGTTCCATCAGTGGCATCTGGGATAGATTTTCTTGAATCCATCGGTCTTACTGCTTGCGCACAAGAAAGTCACACGAATCGATGTGGCAAACTGGGAATGCGACGCGTCTGAGAGGCACGCAGGTTGCCCCCCCCTCAAACCGAGACCAGAGGGAAGGTCGGGAACGCCCAGATCTTTGGGTTCAACACCCCTTCGGTCAACGGCTAAAGAGTTCCAACTCAGGTGGTTTAGGGTGTGTGTCTTGATGTGCAGTCTTCACCCATATCAACTGCAAGAATTTGCACAACCACCCCCACCTGCACTTCTGAAGTCGGGGAAATCGCTGCGACCACCATCTCATCGTCCTCGAACCTCCTGAGTTTGCGCCGCCCGACCTACTTCCCGAGGCCCTTGGCAGTCCCTTTTTGGACCTTTGCGGTGCAACGATCCTCTTGTTGCGGTCAAACTTTCAACACATCGTGAAAGAATTCATGCATGCGCAAAAGCTGGAGAGCCATATTCTGAATAACTTTTCCCGTGTCTCAAGCTCAACCCAGGCTTCTTGCCATCAACAACCAGTTGCACGGAGCTCAGTTGTCGGGTGAGATCATCTTCAGATGGATTCCATGCCTGCCAGGCTTTCTTGCAACCAAACCCACATGCTTGGAGATATGCCCGTGCAACAAACCAACTAATAGACACGGTTCTATCCACTAGCTTTACCCGCAACATGTTGGTGACAAAAACGGAGCATTTCGAATGAATATGAATTGTTTAGATCTTTGGACCCAAACTGCAGCTTGCTTAGCTATGACCTCCCCTCTCCTTGAAACATGTTTCTTCGTCCATGTCTGTGCAGAAAACTGCAGCTCTTGCCTTCAACTTCTGCTTCAAATCCAGGATGGTCGTCTCCGGCAGAATTCCTTCCACCATACATACCTTGGAGAGAAAAAGGACATCTTCTCTCTCCAGATTCCACCAACAACTCTCAGTTACTCTCCCAGCTATTGAACAACTGTATGGGTTGCGACACCCTCTCGAGAAGAATTCTAGAACCCCAGCATGTCACCCCCCCGGCGAACTCTTCACATGGCTCAGCTTTTGAAGGCCATACCGTGAGGGCATTTCTGAAAGGGTTTGTACAATATGCAGGATAAAGCTTGATGAAACCACACACTGATCGACAAACCAAACCAACACAAGAACAAACATCGGATGAACACAAACACTGGCCTCAACCAGCGGTGCGCTTGCCAGTCTCTATGTTATACAAGGGTCTGACTGGTCCGCAAAAATGATCCCAGAATCAGTTAAAGGGAACATCCACAGGACTGAAAAAGCATGGTTTTCTATAGTTTTGGGGTGACGACAATACCAGGGTTTCCTGTAGATTTTTCCCTCCAACCATATCCATTTGGGGCCTCTCGACACCGGCTTTCAATCTCACCACGACACTTGGCCACTTATCAGCTGCGCCCGCACGTGGCCAAACGACTCGCTCATGGCGGCGCTAGTAGCTTCTTGTTACTAGTCGAAAGGCCATGAGCCCCGTTCGTAGCGTCCTTGCTCCTAGTAAGGCCAGGACACACACCGTTTTGGCTTGGGATGTGTCGTGGCACCGTGGTGTTGGAGGTGTTTCTTCCGAAAAGAGATGCCCAGCTTCGGGATAAGAGCCACGCTGGAGCGAGAGAACTGGTCTGAAAGAGAAGCGACGGGTGTAACCCGGGTCCAAGAGCTCGACGTATTTCTACGGACGTGCTGGAGCTACTGGGCTTGGATGGAACGGGACACTTTCTTTTTGGGCCCCCAAACAAGAGGAGAGGCGTGACGACGCCTCCCCTCACTACCACAAGGTCGATGAGATGGTCTAGCAAACCCCAACTTGCTCAGTGCTGCCCCAACTTGGTTGGACCCCATTTTGGCCCAAAAACCGCACTCCAAAACCGGTCCGACTCGCACCGACGGTGTTCGCCCGGGTGCAGCCCGGAGCGGTTTGTTGCGCTGGTCCGAGAGTCGAGCCTGGAACCCAGCCCCGTTCGTAGCGTCCGATCGCTCCGTTCGTAGCGATGCTAGGAGCCCCGTTCGTAGCGAACATTGTTACTATAGAACCGATTCAAGTGTTTTCCAACCGTTCTCTAGGCAAACTTTGGATCTTTCTCCAACCGACTCGCACAAGGGGGAGCGGAGAACCCCGTTCGTCCACACCACGGTGTCACGCGCTCGCTTCGCGAACCCCAAGACACCCCCAACGACACCGAGACGACCAACGAAGCGACGCGTTTAGTGAAGTACCCAGTAGCTTTGGTAGTGGAGTGAGTTCACAGTCTCACACAAACACCACATACATCGATCAACCGAACGGAATCCCGGTTCGCGCTTCGAGTCGCACATCGCGTCTTCGTGCGCGTCTCTTTTGAGCAGCAAAGCCTGGTGCAAATCACCCGTTGATCCCATGCGTGCGGAGCTTCTCGAGCACCCAGCCCTTGGCTCTTTCATGCACGCTATTCGTCATGGGCAGAAAGTTCCGCAGCTTGTTAGGCCATGTGGCCAGGTCAGCTTCGAGCGTCTGCAATCGACATGCCTTGGGCCATGAAACGACTGCTTGGGCCAAGAATGGCCACATGCTTTCCAAATGGGCAGGAGGGGGTAAAGGAAAGAATTTGACGCCAGCTTTTTGAAGAATGAGTGGCCACAACTGCGTCAAATGCTCCTGGCACTCCCTTGTAGTCAAGACCTGCAAATGATGCACATGGTCTTCCAGCTTCTCTTTCATAATATCTAAGCACTGCCTGGTCCTTCTCTGCAAGCCATACTTCACTGCATGCTGCAAGCCAACACCATCCACTGGCACCTTTGCGACCAGAAAATCCTCGCACTTTTCCTTCAAGGCATCAATCTGATATTTGTCAGCCCATTGGGTAAGAAACATAGCGCTCTCCTGGGTCAAGGGTTCCATGGTGTACAGCTGTAGTGCTTTGTAGAACTTTTCCAGCTCACTTTTTCTCTTTCCTGGTAGTTGGATTGATGTCCCAGTGCCCTCCTTCATAGCACTGCTCAACATTTTGGCAAAGACAGGTGAAGCAAGCTCCAGAATGAGGGAATGTACTTCAACCTCACCATCATCCACCAGGATTTTCAAATCTGGCTCCACCCTTGCTCGCTTGGCTGGAGGCTCGCTTGGCGGCTCGGACGACATGGTCACGTCGTAGGTGCGAAAGGTGCGGTTCTCTTCGTGTGAACTTCCGTACGTGTCAAATATGCGAGGGGCTGACTCAAGCCAACTCCACCGATATAACTCCCCTAATTACATGTCCCGCATCCTCCAAGGCCGCTGCTGGTTGGGTTTCCTATCGGAAGGGGCCGCCCCACCGGATGAGAATTACTCAAAGGCCGCTGCTGTGGCTTCCTTTCAACTTCTGCAGCCTTTGCTTGAGAAGTCCCCGAGACGCTTTTTGATTCGCTTTCCACCGAACAACCAGCGAACTCGCCAGCAGTTTATCCAGCTGTTCATGGCGAAACGGATCAAACTTTCAGATCACCAAGTGTTCTGTCCAGCAACTATCAAGCGTTCTGGAGTCACCAAGTGTTCTGCCTGTCCACTAATTCAAGGGCCTAGGGTATTGTACACGTTCATCCATATGGAAATCATGAAGACATGTCCACCTCATCCAGGGGCTCGTTCAAGTGACCAACAAGAGCACCCCGTTTGGGTCCCAAACACGTTGGGCACCCAACTCCATGGAACTGCTAACATGAACCCTGTGGTTTGGTTTTGGCCCCCCCCCCCTGCAGGATGGTGTTGCTCTACAAAAACCCGTGGTTTTCAGGGCTCATGCTAGCTACGAACGGAACAAAGGGCATCACTACTAGGAGCAAGAAGCTACGAACGTAGCTCCTGGCAATACCACCTTCCAACGCATGGACCCACGTCGCCATCGCCCCCCCCCCACACCTGCGGTCGGCATCGCCGTCGGCCGCGCCTGGGCGGGTCCAACTGGGCGGTTTCGACTCGTTGGCGTGAACGTATATGTGCATAATTGTGCATACCGTGCGTGCATCGCGCGTGCATTCCAAACTGCTTGGCCATGAGACATGGTAGTTTTTTTCCCGAAAGCATTGCGAAGGGTTCTTCCGGAAAATCCCTTGAACACTGACACTTCGACACTTACACTTACACACTGACACTTCCACACTTGCACTTGAACACTGACATTTCGACACGTACACTTGAACACTTACGCTTTCACACTTACACTTGAACATGAACATGAACACTTACACTTCTATACGTACCCCAGTGTAAGTGGAAGAGTGAAAGCATCCAACGGCAAGTATCCAAGTGCAAAAGTATGCAAGTGTAATGAGTATGCAATGAGTATGCAAGTGTGAGAATGGAAAACTTGCACGGGAGATGTCCTAATGAAAAACACTTACACACGTTAAAAATTCTCTCTTTAAAGGCGGGGGGTGGGACGAACAGCGTCAACCGGAAATGCAACCCTCTGCGGTGATCGTGCGTGTCGAGTGAGCGAAATGCAGGCGAGAGTGCGATTTGTCCGGTGTGCGCGCAACCCTCTGCGGAGATCGTGCGTGTCGAGTGCGCGAAATGCAGGCGAGAGTGCGATTTGTCTGATGCGCGCGCAACCCTCTGCGGAGATCGTGCGTGTCGAGTGCGCGAAATGCAGGCGAGAGTGCGTGTCATGTGCGCGAAATGCAGGCGAGAGTGCGGTTTGGCCTGTGCCCGCGCAACCCTCTGCGGAGATCGTGCGCGTCGAGTGCGCGAAATGCAGGCGAGAGTGCGATTTGGCCCGTGCCCGCGCAACCCTCTGGGGAGATCGTGCGCGTCGAGTGCGCGAAATGCAGGCGAGAGTGCGATTTGTCTGATGCGCGCGCAATCCTCTGCGGAGATCATGCGTGTCGAGTGCGCGAAATGCGGGCGAGAGTGCGATTTGTCCTGTGCCCGCGCAACCCCCTCCGGTGATCGTGCGAGGCGCGTGCGCGAGACGCATGCAGGCGAGATTGCGATTTGACCGGTATCCGCGGAACCCTCTGCGGAGATCGTGCGTGTCGAGTACGGGTGGCTGCCTCAGCAATTTTCTATATTCATTCCAGCTCGCTTTTTTCAGTG